CATCTCTACAATAAATAAAAAAATTAGCTGGGTGTGGTGGCGCATGCCTGTAGTTCCAGCTACTTAGAAGACAGGCAGAAGGATCACCTGAGCCCAGCAGGTCAAGGCTGAGGTAGCTGTGAGTGTGCCACTGCACTCCAGCCTGGGCGACAGAGTGAGACTCCAACCCCCAAAAAAACTTTTGTAGAGATAGGATCGTGCAGTATTGCCCAGGCTGGTCTCAAACTGCTAGCTTAAAGGAATCCTCCTCTCTCCTTAGCATCCCAAAGTACTGGGATTGCAGGAGTGAGCCGCCATGCTCAGCCAGAATGTAGAGTTTTTTTGAAAAGTTTTACAGTTCCTGAATAAGTTAAACAGTTGCCATATGACCTAGCAGTTTCATATGTATGCTTAAGAGAAATGAATCATTGTTCATGTAATAGTTTGTACATGACTTTTCACAGCAGCATCATTCATAGTAACCCTGAATTGAAAACAATCCAAATGTCTATGCACTAGTGAATGGATAAATAAAATGTGGTCCATCCATACACTGGCATATTGTTGAACAATTAAAAAAATGAAGCACTGATACACGCTATACATGGATGAGCACTGAAAACATTGTGCTAAAGGAAAGAAGCCAGCCATATAATGACACATCTAGTATGAGTATTTCTGTGAACTGTCCAGAACAGGCTTGTCTGTATAGACAACATGGATGAGTGGTTGTTTAGAAGCAGAGAATGGGGAGGTTTTGGGGTAATGGGAATTGACTGCTTAATGGGTATTGGCTTTCTTTTGTAGGTGATAAGAATACTCTATAATTGATTATGGTGATGGTTGTACAACTATGTGAATCCTAAAAAGCACTGAATTGTATACATTAAATAAGTGAATTTTTTGCTATTTATCTCAGTGAAGCTGTTTAAAATAAAAAAAGATAAAGTCGCGTCCCCATCTGTAGTTTGTAGATCAGTGTTTGAATTGCAGTTCTGTCATTTCTTAGCTGGGTAATTTTGGGTCAGTCTTTTTACCTTCTGTAATTATCTATAAAACAGGGTTTTTAGTAACTGTTAAAATAGAAATAAGATGTAGAGTGGTTGTTAATCAAGGGTAGTTGAATCCGAAGCCTATCTGATAATCAGCACATGTTGATATAACTTTAAACATTTTTGATTTAAAAAAACATAGCCGGGCTCGGTGGCTCAGCCTGTAATCCCGTGCCTTTGGGAGACTGAGGTGAGTGGATTGCCTGAGCCCACGGGTTCGAGACCCACCTGGGCAACTTGGCGAGACCTCATCTCTACAATAAGTCAAAATTAGCCGGGCATGGTAGCGCGCGCCTGTAGTTCCAGCTACTCGGAAGGCTGAGGCGGGAGGATCGCCGGAGCACAGCAGGTCGAGGCTGTGGTGGCCGGGAGCGGCCACTGCACTCCAGTCTGGGTGACAGAGTGAGACTCCAACTCAAAAAAAACCCAAAAAAACAAAAAACAACAAAAAACACATAAAATCTGTCATCTTAAATAATTAATTGTGTACTTCAGTGGTAAATTCACATCGTTGTGAAACAGATCTCCGAAATTTTTCATCTTTTAAAACTGTACCCATTAAACAACTCACATTTTTTTTTTTGCCCCCTGCTCTTGGGAACTACCATTCTACTTTCTATTTTTATGATTCTGACTACTTCAGATGCCTCATATAAGTGGATTAATATGGTATTTGTCTTTTTGACTGGCTTATTTCATCCTTATGGTTCATTCATGTCTCAGTGTGAGACAGAATTTCCTTAAGAAGGCTGAACAGTATCCCCTTGTATGAATTTACCATGTTTTGTTTATTCATCTGTCAGCCCTTGGGTTTTTTCCTACCTCTTGGCTGTTGCAAACAGTGTGGCTATGAACATGGGTTTACAAGACTTCTTTGAGGTCTTGTCTTCAGTTCTTTTGGATACATACCTAGAAGTGGGGTTGCTGGATTATTTGGTAGCTCTGTCTTTAAGTTTTTGAGGAATTTGTTAGTTTTTAAATTTGGGGGAGACTATAATTTTGCTGATTGCATGAGGTAGTGTATTTCTTTTTTTTTTTTAAATGAATATTTTTTATTATGATTTTGTGGGGTACAGTTAAGGGTTAGGTGTACAATTATGTTTCATTCAGGCACCCTGTTGATGAGAGGTGTTTCCTCATCCCCAGACAGATATTTGAGACTGTTAATCCCATCCCCCTCCCCCGATAGTGTATTTCTTATTGGATCTCAGTTTTTTAATGTTGCTTTGTTTAGGCATCAGGAACGTTTGATAGCTTAGGAGTAATTTTTTTTTTTTTTTGACTTGGAGTCTCACTCTGTTGCCCAGACTGGAATGCAGTGGCCGCACCCGGCCACCGCAGCCTCGACCTGCTGGGCTCCGGTGATCCTTCCGCCTCAGCCTTCCATAGCTGGAACTACAGGTGCGCGCTACCACGCCCGGCTAATTTTTTGATTTATTGTAGAGATGAGGTCTCGCCTGCCCAGGCGGGTCTCGAACCCGCGGAATCAGGCAATCCGCTCACCTCAGCCTCCCAAAGGCGCGGAATTACAGGCTGAGCCACCAAGCCTGGCTAGGAGTAATTTTTTGATCGTTTATATATTTTGGAAATTTCTTTGAGGTTCAGATAATTTTGGGAAATGAACTGGATCTTTCCCTTAACTGCATTTTAAAAAATTCCATTGTCAAAGTCTGTAGTTTGAACCATAATGATAATAAAATACAAGGAAGAAAAATAAGGGTTATTTTATTGAGGGGTTTGAGTATGTATGAATCTCTTTATTTTAATTAATTAATTAATTTTTTTGAGTTGGAGTCTCACTCTGTTGCCCAGACTGGAGTGCAGTGGCCGCTCCTGGCCACCGCGGCCTCGACCTGCTGGGCTCCGGCGATCCTTCTGCCTCAGCCTTCCAAGTAGCTGAAACTATAGGCGCATGCTACCACGCCTGGCTAATTTTGATTTATTGTAGAGATGAGGTCTCGCCATGTTTCCCAGGTGGGTCTGGAACCTGCGGGCTCAGGCAATCCACTCACCTCAGCCTCCCAAAGGCGCAGGATTACAGGCTGAGTCACTGAGCCTGGCTCAATTTTTTTTTTTTTTTTGTCGGAATCTCACTTTGTCACCCAGGTGGAGTGCAGTGGCACGCTGTGGCCACTGTGGCTTTGACTTGTTGGGCTCAGGTGATCCTTCTGCCTCAGCCTTCCAAGTAGCTGAAAATACAGGCATGCACCACCACACAGTGGGTGGTCAATTTTTAAATTTATTATAGAGACAAGGTGTTGCCAGGCTGGTTTCGAGCTCCTCGGCTTAGGCAATCCTCTCACCTCCAACTCTTAAAGTGCTGGGATTACAGGCGTGAGCCACGGTGCCCAGCTATGTATGAGTTTAAAATAATGTTTACTTAAAGAAGAACAGAAAATTGTGATTCAATACCAATTTTAATTTAGTGGAGAAAAGTTAGGATTGTAGTGGTTTCTTTCTGGTTTTCTAACCCATGTTTATATGAAAAGTAAGTGAAAATCTAGGAGAAAAGGAGTTGTCTAGCTTATTTCTCTACTTTTGTGTTATGTGATATTACAAATACTCCTGTGGCTAAATTAATGGATGTATCTTTACAGTAAAATATTATGGCAGAATTACAAAGGACGTGCTAGATTTGTGAGTACTGATCTGGAAAGATGGTTTATGATGTATAGATGTAGGGATTTTTTTTTTTTTTGAATCAGGGTCTCACTCTTGTCACTCACGCTGGAGAGCAGTGTAACGATCACAGCTTCACTGAAGCCTTGACCTTCTGGGCTCAGGTGATCCTCCTGCCTCAGCCTCCCAAGTAGCTTGTACTACAGGCACGCACCCCCACATCTGGCTAATTTTTAAAAATTTTTTGTAGAGATGAGCTCTTGCTGTGTTGCCCAGGCTGGTCTCTAATGCCTGGTTTCAAGCAGTCCTGCCTTGGCCTCCCAAAGTACTGGGATTACAGGTGGGAGGCACATGCCTACAGTTGTAGGGATTTAGGTTTGTATGTATAGTTAGAGGAAATAGTCTGGAAAGATATAAACTGAGTTGTTAGGTCATCTGTGGAATAGCATTATAAGAATATTAATCTTAGCCGGGCTTGGGGGCTCAGCCTGTAATCCCGCGTTTTGGGAGGCCGAGGTGAGTGAATTGCCTGAGCCCGCGGGTTCGAGACCTGCCTGGACAACTTGGTGAGACCTCATCTCTACAATAAATAAAAAATTAGCCGGGCGTGGTAGCGCGCCTGTAGTTCCAGCTCCCTGGAAGGCTGAGGTGGAAGGATCGCTGGAGCCCAGCAGGTCGAGGCTGCAGTGGCCACTTCCGGCCACTGCATTCCAGTCTGGGCGACAGAGTGAGACTCCAACTCAAAAAAAAAAAAGAATATTAATCTTTTCATTTTTTGCTATTTTTAACTTTTTTGTGTAAGTTTTAAATGATTATCACCATACCAAATAATATGCAACAAGTTACTTAATGTTACCATTAGTAATTTTAATTAAGAGAAACTAAAAGCCACTCAAACAATTATGCTAGTAGTCACTGTTCTAACCATTGGTAGGAATGGACTGTTAAGGCTGGGGTCTGCTTCTCACAGGTTAAAAATAACAATTTACTACTTTTCATAGATAAGACCCCTGATCTTCCAGAAAGCATTAGAGAAAAAAATCGTGTACTTACTTCCTTTCTTCTAATAGTTGTTTTTTTTGACTTGGAGCCTTACTCTGTCACCCAGGCTGGAGTGCAGTTTCACGCTCACGGCCACCACAGTGTTGACCTGCTGGGCTCTGGCGAGCCTTCTGCCTCAGCCTTCCAAGTAACTGAACTACAGGCGCACGCTACTATGTTTGCTAATTTTAGATTTATTGTAGAGACAGGGTCTCACCATGTTGCCCAGGCTGGTCTCGAACCCGTGAACTCAGGCAATCCTTTCACCTCGGCCTCCCAAAGTGCTGGGATTACAGCCTTGAGCCCGTAATCTGCGCCTGGCTTTTTTTTTTAAAACCAAATCTAAGAAAGAAAAAGTCTCCATAATGGTATATATGTTAGGCATAGGAAAATAGACAACATGATACCCTAAGAAATAGGAGGTAAAAAGATGAAATTGGCTCATGCCTGTAATCCCAGCATTTTGGGAGGCCAATAAGGAGGATTGCTTGAAGCCAGGAGTTCAAAACCAGCCTAGGCAACATTGCAAGACCTTGTCTCTATTGAAAAAAGAGAGAGATATATGAAGTTTTTAGATAAAGTTCTAAGTCATTACAAAGTAGCTGGGTTTGCTACTCTCCAAGTGAAGGGAACCTTCTGTATAATACAGAGAAATAATTTAATGCCCTTTCATAAGAATAGGACTCAGGTTTTGTGAAAGCTTCATATTCCATGAGGACATCTCAAGTGCCATCTAGGGAACGTGCATGTCTTTCTTCTCCTACCCATTTATGTGGTCATCTTCATGGGCTTCTGGCAGAATGTTGCAGAAGGTCTGGAGAGTGGTTATCTTCTCCTGTTTCTCCTTCACATTGGTGCTGCCGTTGCTGTGGGACCCCAAAGATGTGGCTTCCTTGGGCTCGAATTGTCTACTTTGCAGGCCACACTGTTCCATTTCACCCTGAGCTGCCACTGCAGCCTGCTTCCTCCTCTGGGTTTTTCGCTTGCAGGCTTTGGACACCTTCTTGGTGGCCTGCTGCTTGGCCTGCAGCACCAGCTGGGTCCTCTGTGACTGATGGGCCATAGCGGTAGTGACTTTGAGACCAAGGCAGGTGGTCTGAATCATCTTGGAGGCTCCCCCCCCATCTTACTCAACTGCTCACAACCTGTGCCTATTTTTGTTGTTGTTGTTGGTTGATTTTTTTAAAACAATGAGCAAATGTGTACTTTTGTAATTAGGAAATGTAGTCTGTGAGGGGAAATCCTGTTTTCCATCTGTCACAGAAATAAGACGGTCTACTTGGTATGCTTGCTTGCAAGAGTGAATTGATCTCTTCTCTGGTTTTGACAAGCATTTCAAGAACACTTGTGCCATAATTATGAGGTGATGGTGGTATTGCTCTCTCCACGTCTGTTTTGCTGTTCCCCAGCTAATAAGTGAGCACCTTGCTTTCTAGAGAGGACATGTACTCCCAGGATTCCATCGATCTACTTGCTAACTCAGGACTACAGTTCCAGAAGCATGAAGAGGAAGGCATCGACACATTGCACTTTGCAGAGCTGCTTATGACCTCTGGAGTGGTTCTCTGTGACAACGTCAAATGGCTTTCGTTTCACAGGTCAGTCCCGAGAACGTCTCTCACTGGGCTACCCTGGAGCATGGAATTGAACTTGGAGTTATTTTTGCAATCCTAGTGACTTGGCTCTGTTCGTCAGTAGTAGTTAGAAGTTGAGATTGTGTCTCTTGCCTGTGTTTGCTTTTCAGAAAACACTGGCGCTTCTACTGGGTTGCTGGGCATAGTATTGGCTCTGTCATGTAGCCATCAGGGGGTGTAATTCCAAGTGGAAATATGGAGGGTGGAGAGCCTCACAGCACTTGGTTGTCTTTAAAATGGTGACTGTTCTGGAGTTTCCCAGGTACTCTTGAAAGCCAGATTCTTCTAGGAGATGTTATTTTACCTTTTCTTTTTTTTTGAGTTAGCGTTCCACTGTTACCCAGGCTGGCATGCAGTGACATGGTCGCAGCTCTCTGCAGCCTCACCCTCCTGGGTTCAGGCAGTCTTGCCTCAGCTTCCTCAGTAGCAGGGACTACAGGTGTGTACCACCATATCAGACCAATTTTTAATTTTTTTGTAGAGATGAAGTCCTGCTTATTGTCAAGACTGGTCTTGAACTCCTGGGTTCAAGTGATCTTCCTGTTTTGGTATTACAGGCGTGAGCCACCTGCCTGGCACTTTTGGATTTTTGATTTAATCCACATTTTAAAAAATAAACGCTTGGGTTCTCTTCTGTGTCTCCCATATTAGTCTATTACGTTCTTATTTAATAGAAATTTCAGATTGCAGAAATCCCTAACACGAAGTAGGAGTATATGCTTTGATAAATGAAATGGTTGAATGCAGGACCTGGTGACTGCTGCTTTTTCATCTCTGTGCTCTGTTCTCTCCTTGTAGTGGCTATGATTTTGGCTACATGGTAAAGTTGCTTACAGATTCACGTTTGCCAGAAGAGGAGCATGAATTCTTTCATATTCTGAACCTTTTCTTCCCATCCATTTATGATGTGAAATACCTGATGAAGAGTTGCAAAAATCTGAAGGTATACAACATTGTTCTTAATAGCAGTAACAATAATAACAACAAAAAAGGACAAAGAAAGCAGACTTATGTTGCTTTATTGCTGTGCTCAGCATGCATTCTTGAGTGCCTGCTAGTGCCAGCGTTGTGCAGGACAGGTGTAATGGAGAGCTGGTTCGCACAGCTATTTGTGTATCTGGCTTTAGCATGGGTTTGAAGGGAGCCCCTGCTTCCCTCATCCTAAGGCAGCCATTCTCACCTGAGCAGCAGTTGGCAGCATGAGGTCTACATGCAGTTTGTCAGGGAGGGGACCCATACTGTACCAGATTTTTAGGGGTGTTCGTAACACTAGAAAGTTCTAGAACTTACCACCCTAATTGTTGACATAGAGCTTTGCCTTGTCTGGAATTGGACTGGCACTTACTACTTCCTCAACAGTTTTCCAACAGTTTTGACTTTAAAGGCAGAGATTTGGTAAAATTAACAATATAGAAAAGAAGGGAGCAAAAAGCAGAATATACTACAGTGCATCACTTGAAAAAAGGGAAGAAAAGAGTTAAGAGCTAAAGGGGGGGTTCTAAGGCCTGTTAAGTAAATGGTCCATCCCCGCTTCTTGCCACCAGCATCAAGTGAACACATGAATGGATTTAGCTGGCCCTACTAGAGGCATGTTGGCCTGTAATGTGATCTTTGTTTTTCTTCCATTTCCAGGGAGGCCTTCAGGAAGTGGCAGATCAGCTGGATTTGCAGAGAATTGGAAGGCAGCACCAGGCAGGCTCTGACTCCCTGCTGACGGGCATGGCCTTTTTCAGGATGAAGGAGGTGGGCTTCCCAGTGTGGGCCTCTGCAGTGCCTTGCTAGAGGCTGAGGAGGGGTCTGGTCTTTGTGGGCTGAGGCTTGTTGAACATCTGTCATTTCTTTGGGAAACTGGTGGCCACTTTGGAAGTGGTTGTTTTGGTTTGTGGAATTTTTAGCGTGTCATGGGTAGCGGGAGAGGAAAAGGAGGTTTTGTTGTGGGAGCCACTGCGAACACCCGGGGGGCCTGCAGCAGACCTGACCCCGGAAGGGCGCTTGTTCCTCCCTGCTCTCATCTTGACAACTCCCTGCTTTGCCTGATTTCTCCAGTGGGAGTTCACTTGGCAGCCCACCCACTTGTGTTATGCCAAGGTCTGTTGGTTACTAAGTATCCTGTTGAGTTGAGGTAGTCAGCAGAGGCTCTGAATTTCCCCTTTCAGTTTCCTTACTTACCCAGTCAGCTTGCAGATGTATATGAGGAGTAGAGAGAAAGAAGCTGTTTGGAAAAATTAAGTAACTTTGTTGACTTGGATGGAGTCCGATGAGCTGATCTGTAAACATGGGTCTGCTTTTAAGAGCAGGGTGTGGGCCTGGTGCAGTGGCTCATGCCTCTAATTTCAGCACTTTGGGAGGCCTTGGTGAGAGGATTGTCTGAGCTCACAGGCTTGAGACCAGCTTGGGCAACTTGGCAAGACCTCATCTCTACAATAAATTAAAAAATTGGCCGGGCCTGGTGGCGCATGCCTGTAGTTCCAGCTACTTGAAGGCTGAGGCAGAAGGATCACCTGAGCTCAGCAGGTCAAGGCAGCAGTGGCCGTGAGTGTGCCACTGCATCCTAGCCTGGGTGACAGAGTAAGACTCCAACTCAAAAAAAAAAAAGAGCAGAGTGGGGACAGCGACCGTACGTTTCGTCTTTGTCACTCTCAATTGTAAACCACCACGTGCTGGGAAATGGCCTGTGGTTCTCTCCTGGGGATGGTTTTGAACTTGGGGGTACTGTCTGGAGACATTTTTGGTTGTCACAGCCTGGCAGGGGAGGGTGGTGTGCCTGGCCAGGAATGCTGTGCATATCCTGTGATGCTGGACATTCCTAGATGAGGAATTCTCCTGCCCTGGTAGTGCCAGTGTGAGGCACCCTGCTGACGGTGCTCGTGTCCACTTTCCACAGCCAGCCAGTCTGCATCCAGAGCCCACACTCTGGCCATTGCCGCCTGCTGGGGAGAAGGGGCAGTCCTGTGAAACGGGCAGCATGGCCCAGAGATCATGGCAGGGGGAGAGGTCACGAGAGCATAGGCCTGTTAGGAGGAGAGCCTTCTCCTTCAGAGAAAGGGGCACGAGGGCAGTTGAGGAGAGAGTTAGCGGGCCCTTTGCTTAGTGGGCTCTTCCTCGTGTGCTGGGCTTCCAGGGCTTCAGGAGAGTGGGTGGTGCTGCTGAGCGTGTTTGTACTTGGTGTGGCCCCTGGCATGACTCGCATCATGCCTCTCTGTCCCCCCTGCAGTTGTTCTTTGAGGACAGCATTGATGATGCCAAGTACTGTGGGCGGCTCTATGGCTTGGGCACGGGAGTCGCCCAGAAGCAGAATGAGGATGTGGACTCTGCCCAGGAGAAGATGAGCATCCTGGCGATCATCAACAACATGCAGCAGTGACGGCGGCGGTGTGTGGCCTGGTCCCTGTGTGGTGCTCACGGTGCTGATTGGACTTGCCTTCTTCCCAAGGGAACCGTTTCTGAGCAAACTGCCTGCCGTCTGCACTGCGCAGAAAGACTTTTGTTTTACTGAAGACAAAAGGTTTTATTTTAGACCCAGAAGAGGGGTTTGCTCCGAATTTGCAAACTGGTCTTCCCTGCCCCTCATCCCCAAGCCTCTCTCCGTTGCCTCCGGCCACCAGCATCCTGGCTCTTATGACACCTTTTAAAATATCCAGGACAAGTCTGAAACACACTAGTAAAATGTATATAACTCTTACCTGTTGTCCTTCTTCTTCTTTTACATTTGTTGCTAATCTCTTTTGATGAAGATTCTCGCTGCGAGTCCCAGCTGAGCCGAGTGTCCCAGGAGCAGTGGAACAGCGTGGTGTCCTTGTGTCATGGGCTCTAGACGCTGAGCCTCCCTCCCTGAGGACATCGGCCTCTCGACTCTTTTGGTAGTCTTTCTGATGTGTTACTGTGTGGAAATCAATTGCTCAGTGCTGAAACTTGAAGACCAGACGATGAAACTTTCCTTAAAAGCAAACAGTTCTACCGAATCCATCTACCCTTCGTTCATGAGAAACTCCAGGATGGGTGTTAAGCTGACCGCTGGCATCTCTTAAAGTCTGTCCCATTGTGCTACCAAGATTTACTGTCATGTATGCATCATCTGAAATTGAGTTTTCTTATGACAAAACATCCTGGACCTGATCCTGAAGGGAATGAGAATCCCAGTCTGTTGTTTTTTCAGTAACGTGACCTCAGATGGTCACCTGTGTCCTCCCACCTCTCATCTGCACTTTCCCTGCCTTCCAGCAAGCCTGAGGCATCAGGGAGACAGTCATGTGAGCGCCAGGAGCGTGAATCTTGATAGTGGTTACCTGTCACCAGGGCAGCAAGAACTTGGCTGAGAGTTCTCGTGGGTAGGAAGCTCAGAACTTTTTTTTTTAAGCTAGTCATTTAAAAAGTACACTGTATTTTTTTGAATGACTACAGAGAGGACACTTTCAGAAAACCAAAAACTCCTTTGGAATGATGGAAATAAAAACCAGAAGTCACTGAAGTGGATGAATAATCTTGCATTTAAAAGCTATGGAAAACAATTTGAAATGGTTAAGAAATGTCAGGTATTATAAGCTGGTATTTAAGATGCCTGTAAATATTATTTATGTTTTTAATTTTGTAAAATAAAGATTTTTTTAACCACTGGCATGAAGGTTTGGTCTTTCCTAGGTACAGGAAAGTGCTGACCCTGGAAGATGATCATCGCTGTCACTGCTAGACACGGCTCAGGACTTTGTTTCGAGACTTCTGTTGGTACAAAAATGCAGGATTTTGAGAAGTCTGGTACAGGAACAGATCTAGAGTTTTCACCAGAAGGTTCACACATCAGAAGAGAGATCTGTCACTTTTTTTTTTAAGTTGGAGTCTCACTTTGCTGCCCAGGCTGGAGTGACACGATCACAGCTCACCTCAACCTTGACCTCCTGGGCTCAGTTGATCCTCCCACCCAGGCCTCCCAAGTCTTGGGATGACAGGTGTGAGTCCCCAGGCCCGGCCTATCACTAAAATGTGTGATGAAAGCAGCATGGCCAGTGGTTCTCAACTGGGGTGCTGTGGAATGCTGGTGGCTATAGAGCCCTAAACAGTCATCCTTCCAAATTTGCATTGAAACAGGCCTTTTAATCTTTTCTATGATGAAGACAGACACGTCAGGAGAAATGCTGCAGAAAAGGGTCAAGGAACTCACTGTTGTGTGGGCATCTGGCTGTTGCAAGGGAGGTAAGAGCTTAGGAGAACAGAGCTAACAAAAGTGCCAGTCTCTCAGAAATGGCCAGAGCGTGGCCTGCGGTGTGCATGAGTGCGCAAAGGGCCATGGGTGTGACGGTCCTCAGAGGACCGTCTGCTGAAGGGCAGCCGTAAGGGGTGTACTTCCATCCTTCCACAGACCTGTCCAGTGAGTTCCCATGTTCCGCCATCCACCCTGCCACAAGCCCAGCTGTCAGCCAATCTGCTGGGAATGGGCTCAACTTAGAGCCCTTTTCGTCCAAGCCATCAGTAAGTATTCTTTCAGCCTCCTGGTTTATTCAGTCTACACATTTTCCTGAAGCACCTACAGAAGACTAGGCACTTAGGTAGGGATATGGCAGGATACAGATGACATAACTTCCACCCTTGGAGTTTACAGTTGACGTGAGCTGCCAGGTGGTGAATAACCCATGCAAACGCAATGTGTGAACTGTAAAGTACAAGACACCGCTGTCCCTGAGATTGAAGTTCAGGGGATGGTCTTTTTAGAGAAGGGACATTTCAGCTGGCGCTAAAAGAGGAGGAGCCAGGCGGAGGCGTAGTGGGGCAGAATCCCAGGTGATGAGCAATTGGTGGGTGCCAGCAGCCAACCAGGGTGGCCAGAGTCCAGAAGCAAGGGTGAGGGTCCTGACAGGAGGCCAGGAGACAGGTCGGAGCTTGGCCCTGTCAGGGCCTTGTGAGCCACACTCAAGACTTTTATCCAAGAGCCATGGGAAACTACTGAAAGGTTGGTTTTAAGCAGGGAATTGACAACATCTGATTTGCAATTTAGAACAGTTCCTACTAGATGGAAAGTGGAGAATTAGCAATAAGAGCAGACTCGGAGAAATACTGGGAGGCTGTGCAGTCATGTGGGTGTGGTGTGAATACTGTGGAGCTAGGGGAGAGAGATTACAGATAAAATGACTTTGGGCCAGGTGTGGTGGCTCACACCTATAATCCCAGCACTCTGAAAGGCTGAGTGGGAGGATCACTTGAGGCTGGAAATACACCACCAGCCAGGGCAACATAGTGAGACTTTGTTGCTACTAAAAATTAACAAGCCAGTCATGGTGGCATGTGTTTGTAATCTCAGGGGCATGAGGGGCTGAGGCAGGAGGATCACTTGAGCCCAGGAGGTAGGAGCTACAGTGAGCTATGATCACGCCACTCCAGCTACCCCCCCCCCAAATTACTTTGGATGGGGATAGAGGACCAAAACAAATTGCTTAGTGATACACCCTTGCTGCTCAAACTCAGTTCCTCAAGGCTTTGGCTCTTTGTGGTTCTAATAATTAGGGAGATAATAACTGAAAACCAGTCATTTAAATGATAGTAGCTTAACTATATTATACAATATTGGAAAGAAAGAAAACTTCAAGAGGAAACAGTTATCAGTTTTGTTATCCTTCTGCTACTGGGTAATTTTGTTTAGTTTTTTTTGTCAGGGTCTCACTCTGTTGCCCAGGCTGGAGTGCAGTGGCATGCTCACGGCCACTGCAGCCTTGACCTGTGGCTCAGTTGATCCTTCTGCCTCAGCCTTCCAAGTAGCTGGAACCACATGCATGTGCCACTATGCCCTGCTTTTTGATATATTGTAGAGATGAGGTCTTGCCAAGTTGCCCAGGCTGGTCTCAAACCTGTGGGTTCAGGCACTCCTCTCACCTCAGTCTCCCAGAGTGCTAGGATTATAGGCATGAGCCACCATGCTCAGCTTTTTTTTTTGTCAGTCTCACTCTGTTGCCCAGGCTAGAGTGCTCATGGCCACTGTAGCCTCGATTTGCTGGGCTTAGGCGATTCTTCCGCCTGTACCTTCCAAGAAGCTGGAACCACAAGCATGTGCCACCACGCCTGGCTAGCTTTTTGATTTATTGTAGAGACGCGTCTTGCCAAGTTGCCCAGGCTGGTCTCGAACCCCTGGGCTCAGGCGGTCCTCTCGCCTCTGCCTCTCAAAGTGCTGGGATTACAGGTGTGAGCCACAGTGCCCGGTGCTTAGTGAAACTTTCAAATAGTAACTCTGGTTCTTACCAAAGCAGTAATTGAGGAGTGTGCAGGATTCCTCCACCCCCAGGGAATGGTTCTGGCAAATCACAGAAGAGTTCACAATTCTAGATTTTTCCATCTCTGTAAGTGCCATTGTTCATTTCAGCAGATGTAGAACTGGAATCCAGTGCTCCACTGGGCCATGCCTATTGATGCCTTTACAATCAAGAAGATTTTCCACCCCTAGGAGCAACACATCCTCTTCCTGAAGTCCACTTAACTGTGTGTAAAAGCTGTGGATCTGAATTCTGTGTATTTCCTTTATCAGAGCTTATTAAGCTCTAAAGCTAGGCACATGCAAGTGTCTTTGAAAACTGCCTCTTAAACTTTTTCCTTCTGGAGAAAGTTCCTGTTAATAAACGACTTTCAAGCCGGGCTCGGTGGCTCAGCCTGTAATCCCGCGCCTTTGGGAGGATTAGGTGAGTGGATTGCCTGAGCCCGCGGGTTCGAGACCCGCCTGGGCAGCGAGACCTCATCTCTACAATAAATCAAAAAATCAGCCGGGCGTGGTAGCACATGCCTGTAATTCCGGCTACTTGGAAGGCTGAGGCGGAAGGATCACCGGAGCCCAGCAGGTAGAGGCTGCGGTGGCTGGAAGCGGCCACTGCACTCCAGTCTAGGCGACAGAGTGAGACTCCGGCAACTCAAGAAAAAAAACAAAAAAACAAAAACGACTTTCACTCCTGCTGTCCAACGGGAAACCTTCACAAGGAATCTCAAAAGAAAGCAGTTCAATGACCAGGAAGAAATGCTCCCGTCCCCCCGGACTGTCCGATTTTCCTGTCCTAGCCACTGGGTTTTACAAAAGCATCTGTTCCAGATGTTGTTCAACCGTCGAAGTTAAACAGCCCAAGGATTTATAGTTAAGTAGTATTTAGGGTCCTGTTATGCTAAAGGTGGAGTCCAGTAATCCAAAAGCCATGTATGCAAAATCCAGGAGTGTGCGTTTTTCTCCAGAGTATCTGTGGCTTTACTTCTCAAGAGAGCCCTGCAATGCAAAAAAGACTCAGAACCACTAAAACAGTAATTTCATCCTGAGCTATTTAATTGCCATCAATCATTTCTTATAAAACAGAGGGAAAACACACATGTGAATCAGTTTTTTGTTCCTCTAAAGCTTTAGTAAGAGATCTGTCCAAAGCAGCCACATTTCCAACCTGAAGTTGACAGGATGAAGGGTCCACATGATGGCTGAAGCCTGTTTCCCATTCAGACTTCAGTCTTGGGACGAGTAGAGCGGGACAGCCTGGGTTAACAGAACAATTAAAAAAACTGTTGTCATAAAATGCAGCAACCTCACCTCAGACAACAATGCATGTCATGTTGGCTGAGGTGTTCATAAAGGTAGCTTGTGTGTAAGAACACTGCACTTTGAGTGATGACAAAAGCTTCTCCTCTTTGGGTAAAACCCACATAAGGCTTTGGGGATGTCCGGCCATCACCCTGCAGGTGTGAGCCAACAGCGACTGCCAGCTTTTCAAGATCTTTCCTCCGGTGGACACCATGCTGTCCAAGGGCCCATGGAGCTGACTCAAATGCCACCCTCACTTGCGTGACTCTGGATTGCTGCAGACACATCTAGGGACAGGTTGAGTGTCTTGAGGTGCAGCTGCAGAGGTGAAAGGCGGCCGGTGCTCTGAACTTGGTAGTTTCTTCAAGGCCCGCATGCACTCACGTGCAGACCTGGCGGTGTCTTCTGTAAGCTTTAGTGTTGCCGTATTTCTGAAGGAGCTCCTGGGCCTGCCGCTGCACCTCTGGGGTCACACAGCCAGGACACTGGGCTGCGACGTGAAGCAGGACGAGGCAGCACTCCAGCACATCTGGGAAGGGCCAGGCCTGCAGGACGACAGGAGGATGAATAAGGAAGTGCCCGCACAGAAGGCAGCAGTGGCTCAGATGCCGCCCTCAGGCATGCAAGCCAGCTCTCCAATGGTAGTGCCCTTTCTCACGCTTCAGCATTTAGTTCAAGGAGAGATGCTGCTCAAAATGATGGCAACTGGGACATCCTTCTCAAATGGTAGAATCTTCTAGAGTCTACTCAAATCAACCCCAAAAGTGATGCTTCCATTATGACTAGGGCCACAGCCACACAGCTTACAAATGCATGCTAACATGATACCAATTTAAATTGGACTTAACTCCCAACTATTAAATTGGTTTGGTTTCTCTAAAGAATGAGGTATAAAATCGCTTTTGCGATCTTGTAATTCTAGTCTCACCAGATAGCTTCACTAACCAAGGTTACTGGATCCTAAATTTTTAAGCACATTCAAATAGGTAGAGTTTTTATAAACTGAACAGACAAGTATCTTTAAAAATTTGGTATAGTCAACCGATAACACAAAATGTAATGTTTTACCAAATGAACTGCTATAAATCTTACCTTAATACTCTCAGGAAACATAGCTATTTTCTGATTTGCCTCTGTAAGCCTTTTGGTCAATTCAGGCAGAGAAACTGGCTCATCTTTTTCTTCTTTACTAGTTTAGGAAAAAAAGTACAAGTCATACGTCTTGCCCTGGGTAACTATTCCCCTCCCAATTTTTAAAAAAATGTTTTGATTCGAGGTCTCATTCTGTCATCCAGACTGGAGTACAGTGGCATGATCATAGTTCACTGCAGCCTTAATCTCCTAGGCTCAAGTGATCCTCCCATCTCAGCCTCCAGAGTAGCTGGGACTATAGAGGTGTGACACCACACTCAGCTAATTTTTTTGTCTTATAGAGAAGGGTTCTCACTATGTTGTCCAGGCTGGTCTCAGGCTTCTGGGCTCAAGCGATTCTACTGTTTTGGCCTCAGAGTGCTGGGATTACAGGTATCCAGTGGAGATGAGGACCTCTGGGGACTCTACTGCAGCCAATGCAGGAGGTCTGGCCATCACGCCCCAACTGTTTTTACTGTGGTAAAAAAGAAAAAAAGAAAACAGCAGGGCTCGGTGGCTCAGCCTGTAATCCCACACTTTGGGAGGCTGAGGGGAGTGGATCGCCTGAGCCTGCGGGTTTGAGACCCGCCAGGGCAACTTGGTGAGACCTCATCTCTACGATAAATCAAAAATTAGCCAGGTGTGGTAGCGGGCGCCTGTAGTTCCAGCTACTCAGAAGGCTGAGGCGGAAGGATTGCCGGAGCCCAGCAGGTCGAGGCTGCGGTGGCCGGGAGTGTGCCACTGCACTCCAGTCTGGGTGACAGAGTGAGACTCCAACTCAAAAAAAAAAAAAAAAAAAAAAATTATATATATATACATATGCACAGTGTTGTGTAACCACCCCCACCACTCATCTCCAGAACCCTGCAGCCTGTAAGACTGAAATTCTTGAGCCATTAAACAACAGCCCCTCCTCACGACCCACGCCACAGCCCCTGGCAGCGATCATTCCTCCCGTCTCTCTGATTTCGCCTCTTCTGAGCACTTCATGTAGGTGGAGTCACAGAGTATTTGTCTTTCTGTGACTGGCTTTTTTCACTTAGCATAGTGTCCTCAAGGCTCATCCGTGTTGCTGCACACGTCAGAATTTCCTTTTGAGGGGAATCTGCTGTACAGACACACCAGCTTTTGCTTAGCCATTCATCTGTCAGTGGACACTTGGGTTGCTTCCAAGTTTTAGATGTTGTGAATAATGCTATGAACACGGTGTGCAAATATCTCTGAGACTCTGCTTTCAATTCCTTTGGGCATTTACTCAAAAGAATTGCTGGACCCCATGGTATTTCTGTTTAATTTTTGAGGAACTGCCATACTGTTTTCCACAGCAGCTGTCCCTTGACATTCCCACCAACAGGGCACCAGGCCTCCAACTTCACATCCTCGCCCACATCTATTACTCAGAACAGTAGCCATCCTGGTTGGGCATGGTGGCTCAAGCCGGTAATCCCAGCACTTTGGGAGGCCAAGGTGAGAGGATTGCCAGGGGTTCGAGACCAGCCTGGGCAACTTGGTGAGACCTCGTCTCTACATCAAAAAATTAGCTGGGTGTTATTGGTGTGCGTCTGTGGTTCCAGCTACTTGGAAGGCTGAGGTGGAAGGATCACCTGAGCCCAGCAGGTTGAGGTTGCAGTGGCTGTGAGTGTGCCACTGCACTCTGGCCTGGGCAACAGAGTAAGACTCCAACTCAAAAGCAAACTAACAAAAAACCAGGAACTATCCCATGGGAGTGAGGTGGTATTCACTGGAGGATCACCAATGTGGAGCATCTCGTCATGTGCTTATTGACTTTTTGGGAAAAACATCTATTCAAGTTCTGTGCCCATTTTTGCTTTGATTTTTTTTTTTTGGTTCTGCCCTTTAACTTTTATTTCATTTTATAAGTAACATTCTTTTGTCACCTGGCTCTTTCTCATCTTTAAATATACAGATTGAGAAGGCAATCTGATGTGTTGTGATAGAAAGTTCTCAAAATGCAGTATTATTCCTCACCACTTTCCAGTTCCCTAGATATGAAGCTCCAGTGGAGATGAGGACCTTTGGGGACTCTACTGCAGCCAATGCAGGAGGTCTGGACATCTTGTGAATGAATGTTTAGACAGAGCTGGGATCCTACAGTAGGGTAGGCTCTTTGGCTCCCCAGAGGGTCCTGGGGACCCCACAGGTTAAAAGCCAATGAGCCAGAAAAATTTCCAGCATTTTTCTTTTACAGAAAGCAAAACCCACAGCTGCCTAGACAAGTGACTCAGATCTGACTCATGATCTCAATGGGAGTATTTTTGGAGGACTAAAAACAGGGGCCTTCAGAGCGTCTTTGTATTAATTTTTAATGCTGCACCTAGCTCCACAGTGACTGGTGATCAGCTTCTGCCCTCCTCTGGACCCCGCTTTTCAACAAGGGTGACTAGGAAGCCACAGCATTCCCATTCCTGGGGACTTTCTCAGTTCAGCATGCAGTTTTGTGCACTACCCTTTTTGTGTTTTTGTAATAGTGCAGAAGGATTGTTTTTCTTTTTCTTTTTTTTTTTTTTTTGAGTTGGAGTCTCACTCTGTCGCCCAGACTAGAGTGCAGTGGCTGCTCCTGGCCACCGCAGCCTCGACCTGCTGGGCTCCGGCGATCCTTCCTCCTCAGCCTTTCAAGCAACTGGAACTACAGTTGCGCGCTACCATGCCCGGCTAATTTTTGATTTATTGTAGACGTGAGGTCTCGCCAAGTTGCCTAGGCGGGTCTCGAACCCGTGGGCTCACGCAATCCACTCACCTCAGCCTCCCAAAGGCATGGGATTACAGGCTGAGCCACCGAGCCCGGCTAGGATTGTTTTTCTTAATGATTCAATAATGCAACTTCACATCTTACATAATTTTTTTGGGGGGGAGTATTTTATTGTACTATGGTTACGAATAGTATTATGTGATTTTGCTTAATTCTTAGAATCATCCAGGTAGGTGTTGGACCCTCATTTAGAGATGAGGAAACTCAAGCGTGGAGGCATTAGGAAACTTGCCTGAGGTCACTCAGCAGGGCCAGGATTAGAAGCCACATTTGACCCCAAGGCTTGTACTATAGTGACATTATGCTGCTTCCAAATGACTGGATCCACAGCAGTAGCAGCACCTTGAACTACATGGGAACCCTGTGGGCTGTTTCTGTTCCATCTTGTACTCGCCTCAGTACTCACCACTGGTTCCGAGGACCAGAGAGGGGCCGCTCTGCTTCCTGCTCAGGACCGCTCTCACTGGCACCGTTCGCTGTGGAGGAACAGAGCTGACTCTGCTGGTGCTGGAGGATCATCTCCGCCAAGGTCTCCTGGACCTCAGTGACAGTCCTCCGCGAGTGCTGGAGGCCGGCGTGCTTCTCTGAAAGGAGCTTCTGACAAGCCCCAAGCATAGGTCCGTGTTCCCCCGGGTGTCTCGGGTCCTGCCCTGGAGGCGAGCTTGGCTCTGGCTGAGAAGCAGTCATGGGCTCAGTGGACCCAGCGTCCTCTGTGCTGGCACTGCCCAACTGCTGGCTTCGCTCAGCAGAGGGTGTTCTTCTGTGACCAGGCCTCATCCCAACACTGGAAGATTTGGGGCAGGGCCTGGAGAGAGACCACCAGAATTCATATAGTCGCCCATAAAGAAAGAAGGCCTCCAAACTTTTGAAAGCTGCTGTGGCAGGGGACTGACGGTCACCCAGTCTGTCTCTCAGGTGGTCACAGCCTAGGAGAAGAAAAGAAGGATTATTGGTGGGGGGGGTTGTGCATTTCTTTAGCTGCCAGAAATCTGGCTTCCTGCCCTTGTGTCTATTTCCCATCACCCAAAGGCTAACCCTAAGAAGAAAGACAGTGTGACCCATGGGGCCACATGCCTTCCAACAAAAGCCAACTGGCACTAAGCATTTCCTGGCTTGGGACAAAGTCCTCACTGCTACAGGCTGGGAGTCATTCAAAGCACAACTGCTCTGCTGAAGGCTCTTAAGCTACACTGACTCGTGCAAGACCACGCCATGTCTCTTAGTCCAGTGACTGACTATGCTGCTCAAGGAATGCCTATCCTTTTGCTGTTTCTCTCTTCTGTTAACCTGTGACCACATTCCTATTTCTCTCTCTCTCTCGTTTTTGAGTCAGGGTCTCACTCTGTCACCCAGGCCAGAGTGCAGTGGCATGATCCTGGTTTACCACAGCCTTGATCTCCTGGGCTCAGGCGAACCTTCCTCCTCAGCCTCCTGAGTAGCTGGGACTACAGGTGAATGCTACCATGCTAAGCTAATTTTGTGATACTTTGTAGAGAAAAGGTCTTACTATGTTGCCCAGGCTGGCCTCAAACTCCTGGCCTCAAGCAATCCTCCTGCCTCAGCCTCCCAAAGTGCTGGGATTACAGATGTAAGTCACCACGCCTGGCCTATATTTTTTTCTTTTAAATAGATTATGTAGGAAGTGGGCAGAAGGCAGTAAGGTGGGTAGGACCTGGTAAAAAAAACTACAAGCATTTGTGCAGTCATTCTGGCTAGTTTAGTGGAAAATAAGGGAATGCAGCTAGGTGTGGTGGCTCATGCCTATAATTTCAACACTTTGGGAGGCTGAGATAGGAGAATCACTTGAGCCCAGGAATTCAAGACCAGCCTGGGTAACATAGTGAGAGCTCATCTCTATAAAAAATAGCTGGGGTGGGCATAGTGGCACGCACCTGTAGTCTCAGCTACTCAGGAGGCTGAGGCAGAAGGACTGTCTGAGCCAAAGAAATTAGGACTGCAGTGAGCCATGATTGTGTCCCTGGCACTCCAGCAGGGGTAACAGTGAGACCCTGACTCAAAAAAAAAGTTGAGAGAATGCAAACTTTCTACTAAGATGAAGCAACTGACCAATCTCCACCTTTAAATAACCCTGGTACTCTGGTGCCATGATAAGTGGTTGTGATGTTATCTGCCAATGGGCGTGCCCCAGGCTGAGGTAGGGGTCACTTACCGTCAGGGAGAAGGGCGGAGCACACTTCCTGCATGATGGCAAAATTCCCTGAGTCGTGGCTCCTCACCACAGCCCGAAGCAGCGCCTGCACAGCCACGTCCCAGGAGCCCACATGCTGGCTCAGTACTGCCAAGGTCAAGTCGTGGCAGATGTGCAGCAGGAGCTGGGGACAAGAGCCAGAGTTAAACACCCGCCTGCAGCAGGCACTGGGGGTGACGCCAGATTGTCCTACTGCCCACACTTGGAAACAAGCACACACAGCTCTCATTTATGGAAGGCCCTCCTGTCTCCACTGGGATCCTTGCTTCCTCAACAGAACCTTTCATTTCTAGTTGCACAGTAACATACACTGGAGGGAGCCTATTCAAAATGCCTTGGCATTTGCATTTAACTAAAACAAAAGGTGAGTTTCTGGAACCAAACCCTGTAATTAAAAGGAATCTGGAATATAATTAAGGTAAGATTGATCAATTTTAGGTATGCAGTTTGATGAGTTCTGACAAACATAAATAGTTCCATAACTACTACCAAGATTAAGACATGCAACAATTTCATCAAATGGAAATATTCCATGTGTTCCTTTCAAGCAGTCTCCCTGCACCACACCTGGCAACGAAGGTCTGCTTGTTGCCACTTTAATTTTGTTTTTCTAGCATTTGTACAAGTGGAGCCATGGAGTATATAGTCTTTTGTGCCTTGGTTTTTTCACTTAGCCTAATGTTTTCAAGATTCACTGATATAATCTGTTCCTTTTTATTGTTAGTATAGCATTTCATAGTATTGACACATCATAGCTTGCGTATCTGGTCCCCAGTTGATGGACATTTGGTTGTTTCTAGTTTTTGGCTATTGTGGACTAAGCTACTGTAAACATTTGTGTTTGCATCTCTGTGCAGATACCTGATCTCATTTCTTTCTGGGTAGTGGGAATGCTGGGTCATGGGGCATGTGTATGTTTAACTTAATAAGAAACTGCCAGACTGTTTTCCAAAGTGTAACCACTTGAGGAAGTCTTGTTCTTCATAAATATAATGTTTTCACATTTTAAAAACATAAGTTGATAAATTGAGGTGTATTCATAAGATGGACATAGCAGTTCAATAATTTTCCTTGGTCTCTGTATCAACATGGATAGATTTTACAATATCCACTGAGATATACAAGCTGCAAAGATACTACGTGGAGTATGACAAGGAGTTGCCTTTGGTGAGTGAGGGAAGGGGTAGGGTTAAGGAAGGGAACAAAGACTTCAACATTATTGCATTTTTAGAGAATTAAAAACAACCCTGTGGTAAGAATGCAGACTAGTGCAACCTCTTCGGAAAACAGTGTGGCAGTTTCTGAAAGAACTAGGAATTGACCTTCCATATGACCCAGCCCAGCAATCCCCCATTGGGAATATACCCAGAGGACTCAAATCATTCTACAAAAAAGACACCTGCACAGGTATGTTTGTTGCAGCTCTATTCACAATAGCAAAAACATGGAACCAACCATGCTGCCCATGGAAACTGGACTAGATTTAAAAAACTGTGGTACATATACACAACGGAATATTATGCAGCCATAAAGAAGGACAAACACATGGACTTCACAGCAATGTGGGTGGATTTAGAGTCTATCATACTCAGTGATCTATCACAGAAACAAAGAACAGAGTATCATATGTTCTCACTCAAAAGTGGATCTTGAACAGTTATCATAATACTGTAAGAAAGGGATTGGCAATAGTGTGAAACTGCTAGGGGAAGGAGGGGCTCACCTCATCAACAAGGGTACCTGCATAATGAACATTTGTATACCTAACCCTGAATTGTACCCCACATCTTTAAAATAAAACAAACAAAAAAATCCAAACCAAACCAAACCAACCAACCCTGCCAAATGAATACACAAGACAAAACAGAAAGCTCTACAAAGCAAAAGTGACAAAATGTAACATTTAATTCTGGTTGATGAGTACTTATGATTTTCTCAGCTTTTCTATATTTTTAAGACTGTTTTAAAAAAGGGAATGCTAAGCCAAGACTAACTTCATAGCTCAAGGGCTTCAATTAGTCTGAAGCAATTTTTTTCTGGCTGCCTGGGGCTGTGTTAGTCTTTCCCACTGGTACCTGTTACTCTAGACATGAATGAAGGAAGTCTCACCACTGCGTGGCTGGTATCAGGGGCTGGTACACCGGCATACCTGTCTGGATGGAGTGTTACTGGTAGCAGATGGGTATTCGATGCTCTGCAACTTCTGAAGGGCTGGCCGGGACTGCTCGGGGCTGTCAAGGCTGAAGACGCTCTTCCACGCTGCAGTCACCCTCTCCACAAAGGGCCCTTGGGTGCCTGCGCTCCATGCATGGTAAGAGGACGAGCTTCTGCTCTCTGAATGCTGCTTTTCCTCCAGATGCCTGGACAGTAGCTCAAGAAGGCAAAACACCAGTCTCTGCCCCTGGAACCCAACAGAGGAGCACCTGTTATGCAGGGAAAGTACTTAGGCTATCTGGAGCTTTCTCCAGTTCTTCCAAGTATCCCTTTAGTGAACTGCCTGCCCAATCTGAGCCACGGTGAGAAGGGACAAAGGAACGATCTGATAGTCTCTCTAGGCTCCTGTTGGAGGAGTTCTACCCTTGGAGCCCAAGACACCATTTATATAACAAGGAACCCCCACGACGGCCCTTCTGCTATAATTTAAGCTATGCACAGGCTGGCTACCCTAGACTCAGGGCCCAATTTGAGAAAAGATGGCTGGGTTCCTCAAGTGCTTTCTCACTGCCCACACTTCAAACTCAGGAATATAGAAGTAAAGCGTAACAGGCCAAAGGTGATGGGACAGGCACAAGGGCCATGTCCAAGTAGGTTTAATAGAGGAACCAGCTGGAAGGGAAGAGTCGCACAGAGAAAAGGCCTAGAACATCTTTTGCTGAATGTCAGGTGTCACAAGATCCCTGTGTACACCTATAACTGTATGTTTTCAGTTAAGCTGGAAGGGTTTCTGTTCCATACAGCCAAAATAGCCCTGATCACAACACTAAGCTCACTCTTATAGGTTTTCTCACTTTGTTAAGGCTGCTGTTCAAGAGAAAAAGATGCTAAATAACCATTTTGGAAACTACAGTATACCCAGTGGCACGGTATTTCACTACTTTTGCCTCCAGTTTTCTTTTGCTATTCTTGGAAAGGTACTCCCCCCTCCTTGGATTTTCCTTGGGCTCTGAATATTCAGTTAGGAACTGTTGTTAGACCCAGTTACTCTGCTAGGGAAAGAGGAACTTAAAAAAACTCATTCTAGTATCTGAGAGGCAGTCATCTACGATTGACCAAATGTTACATGTTTGAGAAACTAGGTAAAAATGCCAATGCTTTAAAAGTAACCATAACTTTGATGTGTCATAAAAGGCAATGGAAAGTGACCCTTACCCTTTTTTGGGGAGGGAGTTGGGGTCTCACTCTGTCACTCAGGCTGTAGTGCCATGGCATGATCACAATGATCACAGCTCACTGCAGCCTTGACCTCCTGGGCTCAGGTGATCCTTCCGCCTCAGCATCCCGAGTAGCTGAAATTACAGGCATGTGCTACCATGCCTGGCTAAGTTTTAAATTTTCTGTATAGACAAGGTCTCGCTATGTTGCCCAGGCTGGTCTTGAACTCCTAGGCTCAAGCAATCTGTCCACTTCTGCCTCCCAAAGTGCTGTGATTACAGGCATGAGCCACCGCGCCTGGCAAAGTTACTAATTTTTAACCAGATGAGAACAAATCAACATCTAAGAGATACTGACAGTGAAATGGGCTGTTCCAGGAGGAACACCAGGACTCCCGTTAAAGGCCACCATTCTCTTCAAGGAAGACTGTGTTGATGACATCTATGAAGCCCTTGATTGCTAAACCAGGGGCTGGTGACCAGAGTCTACTCCCAGATGTTTTGTACAAACGAGTAAGCAGTGGCAATTACCACGAATGACCACGCTGTCTCTGACTGTGGCAACTAATGAGTCATAGCACTTCAGTGGGACAGCATTGCCAGGGCTTGCGGGATGCTTCTAAGTATACCTGTCGAGTTGGTGTGGCATGTGTAACCTGGGTATTCACATGGGCTTGACTAGAAAAGGACTTGGGACCCTTCCATCCTCAATCCCGGGAGACAAAGTGATGGACAGACCTGTAGACTCTCATGCAGCTGCAGGACTTCCTGGGCTCCCACCCAGTTCCTGGCCAGAAGCAGCTCTTGGGCACATCTGAGAGCCAGAGATGCAGACAGCTCCTCCTCTCCTGCAATTGCAGCCAACTCTGCAGCTGTTCGAAGTGATGCTGCATCCCCCTTTTTGGCCAAAACTTTGGCTGCATCATATGCAGAAGTGGCCCCTAAATAGCTACAATATGAATAAAAGCACCAACAAAATGTCATGAACAGATCTCCATTCCCACTCTCTAGACGACTGAATCACGTCTCTCTGCCCACCCTGTAGCATGTACCTCCCATGGTCAGGGGTGTCCCTGCCTCTGTTTGTTCCTGGGAAGGCTGAGGCCAGCACAGCTCAGCAGAGTGTATGAGGAACGTCACCCTGACCTCAGCATGTGCTGAGCTGACCCAAACAGGAGTCATTCCCTCTTTTCCTTATTTGATGGTATAAGACATTAGAAAAATGTGTCTGAGTCTGCCCCGAAGTTTCTTGAACAATTATGGTGAATTTTTTTTTTTTGAGTTGGAGTCTCACTCTGTCACCCAGGCTGGGGTACAGTGGCACACTCATGGCCACCCCAGCGTCGACCTGCTGGGCTTTGGCGACCCTTCTGTCTCAGTCTTCCAAGTAGCCAGAACCACAGGCGTGCTACCACGCCTGGCTAATTTTTGATTTGTTATGGAGACAAGGTCTCGCCAAGTTGCCCAGGCTGGATGGTGATTTACATACATAAATCAGGAGGCAGATCCTGACGAGTCTTAGGAAACCGGGTTGAATGCACATCTTTCTCTATTTTCCACCTTCCCCCACTTCTAAACTGATGACTTCTATTCCTGTCCTCCTTTCTGTGAGCTCTTCTATGTGTGCAGGCACCGTTTCCCGGGGCTCACCACTTGGCAGCCACGGCATAGTGGCCGTCTCTTTCCAGGATGGTTCCCCAGCTGAGGTACAGGTCCTTTAAGATGGGGTCCTCGGGGCGCAGCCGGGCCTTGGCAACCACAATAGCTTCCCTGAAGGCAAGAACAGATACTTTAGCCAGCTGGAAAAGGCTCCTCTGTATGATGCCCTGGGAAGGGCTGTTAAGACAGGATAAATCGTCCCCTTTGTGCTACCTTCATTATCCCAACTTCCCATAAAAAGCTGTGCTCCTGGCATTATAGGGGCAAGTTACAGACATAGGCTGCACTCATTTTTTCACCCAGGCCAGCAGTTTTTAACGGGTGGTCTATGGATTCTTTGGGATCCTCAAGACCCTTTCAGGGATTTGTGAGATCAAAACTATTTTTCTAACAACGTAAGTGGTCATTTTAGAGACAGTGTCTTACTCTGTTGTCTAGGCTGGGCGACACAACTCAATGCAATCTCAAACCCTTGGACTCAAGCAATTCTCATGCCTCAGCCTCCCAAGTAGCGAGGACTACAAGCATGCATCACCACACCCAGCTAATTTTTTGTAGAGATGGGATCCTGTTTTGCTGCCCGGATGGTCTCGAACTTCTAGCCTCAAGCAGTTCTCCCAAAGTGCTGGGATTACACATGAGCCACCATACCAGGCCCTGGTTTTTTTTTTTTACTGTGTTGACCCTGCACTGACTGTGTAAAAGCAGTGGTGGGTACAGTTGCTGGCATGTGAGCAAGAATCAGGTAGTAGCCCTTGCTGTTGAAGAAACAAGGTGAGTGTCTTTGAAGCAGTAAAAAAATTACTAACCCTGTGCACTTGGATGTCCCCTCTGAGGGGACACCATAAATCTAGCAAACCACTCAGATATCCCCTCAGGAGATATAAAGAGACTGCTGGCAACTACACAGGACAAACTTATGCCAACACAAATTTTGAAAAAATGTATGTTTCCTTGAAGTTTTCCATTCAAATTGCATGAAAAAGCAGAGAGGGAATATATACTGAGACAAGATCAATCAACTGAGAAGTAAGTAGTTTGGAGGAAACACAAGTGTGTCCTTCTACATCTTCCTTAAACAACAGAATGGACAATAAATTAAATATTATTTGTGGGAGGAAGAAAATCAGACTGCATTTTCTTCTCAAATAGAAAAACACCAGGTGGAAGACACCAAACAGATTACTATTGCACATGTATCAATGAACCTGCAATGCATGTGACTGTTTCACAACTTACCACACTTTAGAAAAATATGATAGAAAATTTTGATTTTTGTCATAAGTTCCTCAATGTTCAAAATTCCATATAAGCCAAATATCAGCCGGGCTCGGTGGCTCAGCCTGTAATCCCGTGCCTTCGGGAGGCTGAGGTGAGTGGATTGCCTGAGCCCGCGGGTTCGAGACCCGCCTGGGCAGAGAGACCTCATCTCTACAATCAATCAAAAAATCAGCCGGGCGTGGTAGCACATGCCTGTAATTCCGGCTACTCGGAAGGCTGAGGCGGAAGGATCGCCGGAGCCCAGCAGGTCGAGGCTGCGGTGGCCGGGAGCGGCCACTGCACTCCAGTCTGGGCGACTGAGCGAGACTCCAACTCAAAAAAAAATAAGCCAAATATCATTACAACAGAATAATTGGTTCCAATGCTACACTATTTAGTATGAAGTGATTCATTTTTCAATATTTCATTAAAAAGTGCGGTTGAATTGCTAGTAGGTGATCCACGCGATGTCTCCACGTGCAAAGGGCTGGTTTTACAGCCTCCCTCAAGTCCACATGACTACTATTCCGTGTAATAAAAATGGGAAGAATACTTTGTGTTCTCTGCAGCATTCCAAGCACCATGGTTGTTTCTGGGGAAAACCTGGATGAATGAACTGCAAGTTGAGCTAGCTGCTTTTTTCACAGGCCCTCATCTCTTTTCAACAAAATGACTAATAGATAAATAAGTCATTCAGTGTTGGGTGACTGGCAGATGTCTTCTCAAAAATGAACAAATTAAGTGCCACTTCATGAAAAACAACCAACAGTATGTGTTGCTAAAATTAGAATTTTTTATTTTTTGAATTGGAGTCTCATTCTCACCCAGGTTAGAGTACAGTAACATGCTCATGGCCACTGTAGCCTTGACCTACTGGGCTCAGGCAAGCCTTCTGCCTCAGCCTTCCACGTAGCTGGAACTACAAACACATGGCACCATGCCTGGATAATTTTTTGATTTGTTGTAGAGATGAAGTCTTGCCAAGTTGCCTAGGCTAGTCTCGAATCCCTGGTCTCATGCAATCCTCTCGCCTCGGCCTCCCAAAGTGCTGGAATTACAGGCTAAGCCGCCACGCCTGGCCTAAAATTAGAATTTTAGAAAACTTGCACCTGTCACTATGAGCTTGACAGCTTTCCAAAAGTTAGAATTCTCTAATAAGAGTGACGGTGATTATTAAAGGAATGTGATTTTCAAAAATATTTTATAATAATATGTGTTGTTAACATTTGGAAGGTCTGTGTAACTCAGTGAACAAATAGTTTCCAAGTAACATACAACTTGTGAGTTGTAGCCAACATACAGATGTAGTTGAAAAAAAGTGTTTGAGATTAAAGTGATCTAGAGAGAGTAATATTTCAAAAGTATTTGAGACTTCTACTTCCAGCCATGATGGACTAACTGGGACCAGACGTACCCTCCTGCCATAAAACTAAAAAACTTGACAAAATTTATATGAAACAACTGTTTTCAGACACTGGACAACAGGCAGTACAGGAATGTCATCCCTAAGGGAAGGGAAACAAACGATGTGACCCCTGTCACACACTGCCTTTCTCCCACATCAGGTCCTAGGGAGGGCCCCAGCAGGCTCACCGACAACGGAGAGGAACAAGGGAAGTTTGAGAGGCAGGATACTAGCAAGGCAGCAGCCATCCAGAAAAAGATCTCTGCAACTCTGCTTGGGGATCCTGTTGAGTCTTTGGTTAAATATAAAGCCCTGTATGTGTAAGAAACTCCTTAAGTCTAAACAAAGAATGACTAGGGCACTGCGAGCTGAACAACTCCAGAGCTCACTCAGAGAGGGTAGACATCTGAGTTCTGACTTGTTGAACACATGAGGCCTTCAATAAAGACATCAGAATGCAGGCAGGCCAAACAAATTTGGAGTAGAATTCTCCAAACCTGCTCTAAAAGCTAAAAAGCAAGCTGTGAAAGATCAAGCTGAACTACAAATAACTTTACTGCTCATCACAACAAAGTTCAACATTCTCTAAAGGAAGACTAAACCAAAACAGGATGGACAAAAGGAAAATCTCACCATAGCACATTATATCAAACTGCTGAAAAATCACTGATGGATCAAGTCCTAAACACAGCCAAAGAAAAAAGACAAAGTTCCTATATAGCAAAGATTAAAAAAAAAAAGTAGTAGTAAAGTAAAAAATAACGTAGGTTAAGAAGACAAAACGACAGCCTTGAAGTGCTAAAAGCAAACTACCAATCTAGAGTTCTACATTCAGTGAAAAGGTCCTTTAAAATCAAAGTGAAATCGAGACTTACAAACTAAAATTGAGGAACTTTGTCACCACCAGTACCTACAAAAAAAAAGGCCTTCAGGTGAAGGGATTGATAGCAATTGGAAACTTGAATCTACAAAAAAGATTGAAAAGTGCTGGAATAATAAGCTTGTGGGTAAATGTAGAAAACGTATAAAAATCATTAAAAAGTATTTTTATTTTTTCTGAGTTGGAGTCTCACTCCATCGCCCAGGCTGAAGTGCAGTGGCATGCTCACGGCCACTGCAGCCTGGACCTACTAGACTCAGGCAATCCTTCTGCCTCAGCCTTCCAAGTAGCCAGAACTACAGGCATGTGCTACCATGCCTGGCTAATTTTTTCATTTATTGTAGAAAAAACGTCTTGCCAAGTTGCCCCAGGCTGTTCGCGAACCTGTGGGCTCAGGCAATACCCTCACCTTGGCCTCCCAAAGTGCTAGGATTACAGGTTTGAGCCATTGTGCCCAGGCTAAAAAGTGTTGACCAAAAAATGAATAAATAACAAATGGGATGAATAGAAAACAAATTAGTAAGACGGTAGATTTAAATCAAGCCCATCAACATTTAATGTAAATAGTCTAAACACTCCAATTAAAAGATATAGATTGTCAAAAAAAAAAAAAAAGACTCAAGTATGCTGTCTACAAGAAATATCTTTCTTTTTGTTTACTCATACTTACAAATGTAGTGAAAGAACAAGCTCTTGGACAGGAAGGATTCATATCAACCTCAGGAGAGTGGTTACTTCTAGAGAAGAAGCGATGAGTACAGAATTGCAGAAAGAACTTTCAAATAAATCTGCAATATTATATACTTCTTAACAAGGAAAAAAACCATGCAGAGCTTTTGGGGTGGCTGGCAAGATTCTTTTCCTTTTATAGATGAGGATTAAAAAGGGAGTTCCTCTTGTAAGAATTCACTAAACTGTTCATTTGTTTTATGCTGTTTCTTCTACTTGTGTTACTTTCACAATATGTAAGTTTAGGTTATTTGCACATTATGTCCAACTGCTGTTATGATTCTAGGACCACACAGACCTGTAAAAATGGTTTGACTTGAGCAGCTCCACAGCTTCATACACTTTGTGGATGGAAAGTAGATGAGAAGCAGCCTTGACATACTGATCTTGAAAACAGAGCTGTTTGGCAAAAGCTTCCACGGCCCACAGCCACACATGGTAGCCAGCTGAGAAAAATGAAACATGGTGACTTTAAAAAAGCAAGTATATTCAGGTTGAAAAATGCCTTTTCAGTCAATGTATTAAGCAGAACATTTAGATATTAATTCAGCTACTATTACTGATATATCCACTTCATCTACCTCTCTTCACATCCCCATAATTTCTTTGATTATGTGATACATACAAAATACATAGTACAAAATACAAAAGCCACACAGAGGAATGGAAGTCCAGAATAGTGGCTGCCCTTGTTGGGGCAGTCGAGGGGACAGTGACTGGAAGGGACCTAAAGAGAGCTTTCAAGGTATTGGTAATGTTATATTTCTTGATATGGGTGCTGGTTATAAGGTCTATTCAGTTTGTGAAATTCACTGTAAACTCACGATCTGCAGACTTCTCTTTTTCTACACAGCATACCTGAATAAAAAACTAAAATAATGGCATGATCTATAGAAGGTTTCCTTATTATCCTGGTACTTTCCCACTGTACCTTGCCCAGATTCCTTCTCCTTGAGGCAGCCATTATTACCAGTTTCATTTGAAACCTTTGCAAGTAATCTATGACTATACAACCACATTACTGTAAAAATACAAACGAGTATTACATATTCTCTTGTGCACCTACACCTTGATTAATTTAACTTATGACACTTTGGTGCTCCATTCTGTAAAAAAAAAAATTTTTTTTTGAGACAGGGTCATTTGGGCATGGTGGCTCCTGGCTGTAATTCCAGCACTCTGGGAGGTGGAGGTGAGAGAATTGCCTGAACTCAGGGGTTTGAGACCAGCCTGGGTAACTAAATGAGACCTCATCTCTACAATAAATTTAGCTGGTCATGGTGGCAAATGCCTGTAGTTCCAGCTACCTGGAAGGCCGAGGCAGAAGGATTGCCTGAGCCCAGCAGGTCGAGGCTGCAGTAGCCATGAGCGTGCCACTGCACTCCAGCCTGGGCAACAGAGTGATACTCCAACTCAAAAAAAGAGACGGGGTCTCACTCTATTGTGTGGGCTGGAATACAGTGGCATGAGTAGCTAACTGCAGCCTTGAATTCCTGGGCTCAAGGGATCCTCTCAAATCAGCCTCCTAGAATGCTGGGATTACAAGTATGACCCAGTGTGTCCAGCCCTGAAGCTCCATTCCATGTCAGAATGCAGAGAGTGGCTTCATTCTGAGAATCTGTAGGGGTTTCTACTGAATGGGTGCATATGATTTATTTGATCTCTTATTGATGGATAAAAGTTCTTACAGTCTTTTGCTATTAAAAATACAGCTCCAATAAAAGTCCAAGTATATTTGTCATTTAGCATGTGTGAATACAGTTAAGGTCCTATAATTAGAATTATTGAGCCAAAAGCTGCATGCATTTTTTCCTCTCTCTCTCTTTTTTTAAAAAAGAGGTGGGGTCTCACTATGTTGCCCAGGCTGGAGTGCAGTGGCATGCTCATTGCCACCGCAGCCTCAACCTCTTGGGCTCAGGTGATCCTTCTGCCTCAGCCTTCCAAATAGCTGGAACTATAGGTAAGCGCCACCCTGCCCGGCTAATTTTTTATTTATTGTAGAGATGAGGTCTCATCAAGTTGCCCAGGCTGGTCTAGGACCCTAGGCTCAGACAATCCTTTCACCTCGGCCTCTCAAAGTGCTGGGATTATAGGCGTGTGCCATTACTCCTGGCCAATTGTCTTTAAGAGGTTCTTACCAATTGTGCTTGCGTCATTAAAGTATGCAGTGGCCTGCCTTTTTTAGGGGCGGTTGATTTCTTAATCTATTGCTACAAACAGAATTAGGTTTGTGTCCAACTGTATTTGTAAGTGATTTCAAGCTTAAGACTGGTACTGCCATGAGCCACCTGCAGAGGATGTATCCCAGACATGATAGGGCTTTTGCTGAAAGAAACATACCCACTGGTGCCATAGCCACAAGATTGTCTGTCAGCTCCCCTCTCTCTGCTGCAGTCTGCAGAACACCTTTCAGATCTCCTTTCCAAAGCATGAGCTGGTGAAATAACTCAGGGTGGCCATTTTCCAAGTGGCCTTTTCCTGTTTGAAAGAGAGATGTTTCAGAAGCACCTGTCCTCACTGACTTCTAGACAAAGAAAGGCAGGATAAAAGAACTGAACTCCTAAAATGTGCAGTCACTCACTGATGGGTGAGTCTCCTACCAGAGCTCACTTGGTCCCTTATCACCCACTCACCCTCACTTGTCTTCAGAGTGAAAGGCTTATGTTTAGAAGCCTACAATGCTGCAGGAGGTGAATAAGAATATAAGTCAGGGAGCTCAAAATCTCGTTAGCTGACATGATAGACTAACCACTACAGGACACGAGACGGCAGCCATGAGAGATGCACACAGAATGCTGGGGATGTATAAAGATGGGCGAGTGTTGATTGGCCTGCCTCACCTTCAATCTCCATCATTCTGTACAAGGCAGCTCTGTCTGTGAAAAGCCCTAGGTGAAATCGTTCCTCAAGATCAGCAGACACATCCTCATTCAACTCTGTTAATTTAAAAAGACAGAAAAAAAAAAATCAGAGGAAGTCATTACACAGGTTACTATTTTCTGTTCAGTGACTTCTGAAATGTCTGGAACACCCACTTCAGAAAATCAGAGCTTTGTGTCCTTGTTTATCCAAATAGAGATAGTTACAAAGGTAGCAAAACATGAACATACTTAAAAGAAAATGTTAAAAGCGAACCCCAAATTCAGTATGCATTTATTTATGTATTCATTTATTCATTTATTTATAGTGAGTCTCACTCTGTCGCCCAGGCTGGAGTGCAGTGGCACGCTCATGGCCACCCCAGTGTTGACCTGCTGGGCTCTTGGCGATCCTTCTGCCTTAGCCTTCCAAGTATCCAGAACTACAGGAGTGCGCTACCACACTCGGCTAATTTTTGATTTATTGTAGAAACGAGGTCTCGCCAAGTTGCCTGGGCTGGTCTCGAACCTGCGGGCTCAGGCAATCCACTCGCCTTGGCCTCCCAAAGTGCTGGGATTACAGACTAAGCCACCAAGTCTGTCCTCAATACATATTTAAATGCTGTAAAACCAAACAAATAAAACAACATTAATAAGTGAAACAGAGTCGGGCACGGTGGCTCACACCTATAATCCTAGCACTTTGGGAGGCCGAGGTGAGAGGATTGCCTGAACTCATGGGTTTGAGACCAGCCCAGACAACTTGGTGAGACCTCGTTTCTACAATAAATAAAAAAATTAGCCAGACATGGTGGTGCATGCCTGTAGTTCCAGCTACTTGGAAAGCTGAGGTGGAAGGATTGCCGAAGAGTGGCAGGTCAACACTAGGGTGGCTGTGAGCATGCCATTGTACTCCAGCCTGGGTGACAGAATGAGATTCTCAAGAAAAAAAGCCAAACAAACCCAAAAAAGTAAAACAAAGTCTTTAATAATCACTGGGACCTACCACAAGGGGATTGATTTAATATTTATTCTCTGCTTTTAGAAAATATCAACTGAATAATTTTCTCATAAGGACAATAATGTAAAACTACAGGGCTAACAGCATGAGTTATCGGAAGTCATTGCAAAGCTCCAAAAAGAAGCCTATGTATATAATAAAAGCATATTTCTAGCAAAACACAAGAAACTAATTGTTGGGGTTAGGGGAGAACGTGACTGGAAGAGAGAGAAAAGCTCTCCATTACTTGGGAAGAAGTTTTTTTTAATTAAAAAAATTTTTTTTAAAGAGACAAGATCTTGCTGTGCTATCCAGGTTGCCCTCGAACATCTGGACTCCAGTAATCCTCCCTCCTCAGCCTCCCAAGTAGCCAGGACTACAGGCGTGTGCCTCTCTGCCTGGTGAGACTCAATTTCTGTTTACACTGTTTCAATTTCATTTTATCATGTGCAGCCCTTTACAACATGTAAGATTAAATTTAAAAAAATAAAGTTGCAGCCAGATGGTTTATGCCTATAATCTCAGCACTTTGGGAGGTTGAGGTGAGAGGACTGCTTGAGCCCAGCCCGAGCAATATAGTGAAGCCTCATCTCTACCAAAATATATATGTATATATATAAAATAAAAAAATTAGCTGGGCATGGTGGTGTATGCCTGTGGTCCCAGCTACTTGGGAGGCAGAGGCAGAAGGATCACCTGAGCATAGGAGACTGAGGCTGTGATGAGCCTTGATGGTGACACTGCTCTCCAGCAAAGGCAAAAAGAGGGATACCCTGACTCAAAAAAAGTAGAGCCCTACATCCCAAGGGCATAGTAGTGCTGACGGTGGGTCAGAATGAGAAGTCTGGCAAAAGGATGTGGGGGTGCAGGAGTACGGGGGGAGCGAAGGCTGGAAAAGAACATAAAAAACACAGATGACAGTTTCAGGCATTTCTTCGCTCATTCATTTGACAAATAACCAACACCCTGGATATGCGCTCATTCATTCGACAAATAACCAACACCCTGCATATGCCAGCCCCAGAAGACTATGGGTGGGCCAAGGAAATGTCTTTCTGTACCTTTGGCATGTTTTGCAGCTGCTAGTACCAGACAGTCCTGATGAAGTTCCTCTTTGGGCCTGTGGTCCAGGCTGGTGCTCAAGGGGAGTGTGGACCGAGCTTTCCTCTTCTTGATTAAGGCTTCTGGAAAGTAACGAGAATACAGACTGTCTGAAGACAAGTGGATTAGAAACACAAAACAGAATGCCTACTGTGTTAATGTAACCTGCTGGCAGGATACTGTTGGGCGCAGAAAGTTCCTACTCCTGTAAAGAAACCTTCAAAATTAATTAACTGGGGGCACTGTCCATAAAACACACAAAATGCTCTTGAAACATGTATGACACAGTATCAGCAACTGCAAAGCATTTCATCGAGTGCTAAGAACATGTCCAAAAGCATGACCCCAAATTGATATGATCAAAACACCTACAAATATTTAAAACCTAACAAAACCAACTAAAAAAAATTTATTTTTGAGTTGGGGTCTCACTCCATTACCCAGGTTGCAGTGCAGTGGTACAATCACAGCTCACTACAGCCATGACCTCCTGGTCTTAGGCAATCCTTCTGCCTTAGCTTCCCAGGTAGCTGGGACTACAGGCATGCACCACCATGTCCGGCTAATTTTTTGAAATTTTGTAGAAACAAGGTCTCGTTATGTTGCCCAGGCTGGTCTCGAACTCCTGGGACCAAGCTTCCCAATATGCTGGGATTACAGGTGTAAACTACTGTACCCAGCTACACTCAAATTTCAAATTCTCATTGCCTGTAATATTTTATTTTTTTATTTTTATTTTTATTTTTTGAGTTGGAGTCTCACTCTGTCGCCCAGACTGGAGTGCAGTGGCCGCTCCCAGTCACCGCAGCCTCAACTTGCTGGGCTCCGGCGATCCTTCTCCCTCAGCCTTTTAAGTAGCTGGAACTGCAGGCGCGTGCTACCATACCCAGCTAATTTTTTAATTTATTATAGAGATGAAGTCTCGCCTAGTTGCCCAGGTGGGTCTTGAACCTGCGGGCTCAGGCAATTCACTCACCTCAGCCTCCCAAGGAGCAGGATTACAGGCTGAGCCACTGAGTCTGGCGCCTGTAATATTTTAGAATGCTTTAACAAAATACTGAATCTCAAGTACCAGATACCAACCTAGCTTCTCTTTAGGTGGCTCCTTTTTCAGTGATGTGACTTTGTTATTAATGGTGATTTTTGATTTCTCAAGCCCTGAGGAAACTGGAGTGCAGATGACTGGTTCTCTGGGAACTACATCACGGGGAAAAAAAGAAAGGAAAAAAGTGGTATAAAAATAACATAAAGTCTAGTTCTTTTTAAAAAGTAAGAGTTATTCTAGGCTCAGCAATGCAACCTTATCTATTACCAAAACATATGAGACACAATGCATTAGAGAGGAAGCATGGATGGTCTCCCAATCCCACCCACAAGCTAGCTGTGCTTCAGGAATCTTTGTGTTTCTTACTTAGAACTCTGACTAAAACAAAGTTGCAAACTTCTAGCCTCCTTATCTTTCCACCATAAGCCCAGGAGTTCTCTAACTTTGCTTGGGTGACAAAGTGCTTTTTATACATTCAGCTCACAAGGTACTAATAGCATACTAATTATGCTAACTAGGATTACTAATAGAGAATATTGAGTGTATGTGATATGAAGTCACAATCCTGAGCACGCAGCTTAAAAACAAGCTATCGATGCACAGGGATAAAGGACATTTTGTGCAGCCATTTTGTGGCAGAAAGGCACTTATTTTTCTTTTGAGTCACTCTGATGCCCAGGCTGGAGTGCAGTGGCCCACTCACGGCCACTGCAGCCTTGACTCAGCCTTCCAAGTAGCTGGAACCATATATGTGCATCACCATATCCATTAAAAAAAAATGGAGATAGAGGTAGGGTGTGATGGGTTCACGCCTATAGTTTCAGTACTTTGGGAGATGGCGGTGAGAGAACTGCCTGAACCTGGGGACTCAAGACCAGCCTGGGCAACTGGGGAGATCTCATCTCTACAATAAATCAAAATATGAGCTGGGTGTGTTGGTGTGCACTGCAGTTCCAGCTACTTGGAAGGCTGAAGTGGAAGGAAGGATCACATGAGCCCAGCAGGTCAAGGATGCAGTGGCTCTGATTGTGTGCTGTACTCCAGCCTGGGCCACAGAGTGAAACCCTGACTTTAAAAAAAAATAAAATAAAAAAGAGATGGGGTCTTGCTATGTTGCCAAGGCTGGTCCCGAACTCCTGAGCTCAAGTGATTGATTCTCCTGCCTCAGCCTCCTGAAAAGCTGGAATACAGGTAATGTGCCACCATACCAGCTAGAAAGGCATTTTGATGAGCTTAAAAAATACATCTATTAGGCTTTTAGCTCTTTTTTTTTCTTGCAGAACTCACAGTCTAGCTTTTAGCTATTTACCCAAACCATGGGTCTAACAGCTATCTCTTGGGATACAGCTATCTCTTGAGATACAGCTATCTCTTGGGATACTCACAGTCTAGCTTTTAGCTATTTACCCAAACTATGGGTCTAACAGCTATCTCTTGGGATATCCCAACAGCTATCTCTTGGGATACTGAGTCACTGCTTCTATTTATACTGCTTGCTATTTAATCTTTTATTTTAGCAGGTAACAGGCACCAGATATTTATGGTAAATATATAAAACAATAAAAATGCTAACATTTTTATCCAATAATAATTCACATTAGAAATAGATTACATTATTGTAAATCAGTGATGGGACACTGTTTTGTGACAAATCTGAGAACTACCACTATGACTTGCTTGACTGGAAGAACTTAATAACCACCCATCCACTTTTTTCTGTGAGAAGACAGAAAACCAGAACAAGCTCCAGGAGGAGGGGCAAAAACGTGCAAATTCCCACAGTGGTGGCAGTTTCTTAGTCAGACACTGGTAGGGGACAGCAGCTTCTTTCTTTCAATAAATGTGGCTTGCGATGCCAACTGTCTTCCGTGTGAGCTTCCAGGCACACACTACCCTAGTTTCACTCTGCCCCATGGTTTTACCTTGCCCAAGTTGATTAGCAAGTTTTCTCTACAGAACTTGATTTTTCCACCCAAATCATCCACTAGATCCCCTTTAAAACGTCAAAGGTGTTTATTTTAGAGACTTAAATAAAAAAACAGGCATGTCTGAGACAGAGACGAAACCAATGGGTGAGGCCCGAGCTCAGGTTCCCAGACATGACTGGAAACCCTAATTAGTGAACACAGGACCCTGCCACATACCCACTGGAGCGAGGCTGCAGGATGACTCTGGCTCCCGTGCTCCCTCCTCGCCCTCTCGGTCTGACACTGACAGGCCATTCTCCACAGGCCTTGAGCTCTCCTTTATGGCCTCTTCTTCATTCCCGTCGATTGACTCCAGCTCTACAGAAACTCTTGATGGGGGCTTTTTTTTCTTTTTGGGCTTCGGCTTTGGTTGAGAGAGCCGTTTCTTCTCTAATTCAATACTTTTTTTGCCTAGAGGAATCACAGTAAAGGAGGATAGACCGAAACAAACATTCTTGGTTATATCTGGAAATCTCCAATATCTCACGACTCTTTGTCTTAGCAGTATTCTAACATTTTCCCTTCCTTCCCACTGAACTTTTAGAGTTATATTATCACAGTGTCAACCAAACTCTTTGGGATTTTATTAAGTCGTAAGTATGATGCCTAATTACCTCTGAAGACTTTAGTGTATCTTACAAGTAAGGACATGCTCCAACATTACCACAGTACAACCAATAAAACCAGGAAATTAACACTGACACATTGCTACCATCTACTCCACACACGCAATCCACACATCTGTCACTAGTTGTTTAATATACTGTCTAGTTTTCTTTCTTTTTTTTTGAGTTGGAGTCTCACTCTGTCACCCAGACTGGAGTGCAGTGGCTGCTCCCGGCCACCGCAGCCTCGACCTGCTGTGCTCCGGCGATCCTTCCGCCTCAGCCTTCCAAGTAGCTGGAACTACAGGCGTGTGCGACCATGCCCAGCTGATTTTTTAATTGTAGAGATGAGGTCTTGCCAAGTTGCCCAGGTGGGTCTCGAACCCGCGGGCTCAGGCAATCCACTTACCTCAGCCTCCCAAGGTGCATGATTACAGGCTGAGCCACCGAGTCCGGCTCGGTCTAGTTTTCTAGTAGTTTATGGCAGGTGGCCAAGTCTGATACCAGTTAATCTTTCTTAGCTAGAAATGGAATTCTCATATTTGTTTTTAAGTTTGAATTGTCTCACATTTGATCAGTGAGAGCTACTTCAAGCTGTCTCCTTTGTCCTTTTGATGAACTTCCTTAATTCTTTGAGTACTTCTTTCCTCTCTGGCATAAGATAATTATTCCAGGCTCATTGTATATTATCCCTGTCCCAACGTGGAACCAGTCATTTCTCCAAGATGCCACAGACACTTTTAAGACATTTAAAAGTGACATTTAGAGACCATCATCTGGGAGCAATGACATGGAGAATCATGGAGAATGACATTTAGAGACCATCATCTGGGAGCAAGCTGTGTGCCTTACTATTTGGGGTTGCTGCCCTCAGGCCCCTCTTGGCTGTTCCTTGCTTAGGCCCAGATCCCAAGCCACCCTGACATACTGCCCCGCATGAATGTCTTCCTTGCTCAACCCTGATCAACTACTAAGAAAGGGAGAAGAATAATCAGGTAAGTATTTTATGAGTTCCAGGTTCCAACTGACCTTGAGGAGGACGAGAATGATCCTGCATGGAAGTGAGCCATTTGTACACACAGAAGTCATCTGCCCCTGAGTAGATGCAGTCTGGATCCAAAGGTGACCACGCTACACAAAGGAGTCGTCCTCGATGCCCTCGGAAGTTACACTGGGGCTCTTCCTGGAGAGTATCCCACACCTAAGCCCACAAACCAAATGACAGACAAATTCTGGTTATTCTGTTGCTTGAGGGGGCATACGTCTTCTAATTAAAATTTTAAAAATCTGTGGACTCTTATTTCTTTGTGATTTGTAATGTTCTCTTAGGAGTTCAATTTCAGAGCGTATCACCTCCTGCGGGAGTAAGCCTATGTGCTCTGAGATGCACAGGCATTTCTATGGGGATGATTTTGAATGAGCTTCTGTTGGTGTCCAACGGATTTCACTGTCCCGAATCAGTACTGTACGTTAATTTGGGGGCTGAGGGTTCTGGTATCATGAAGATAATAGCCCACGCTTAATCTAGAAATTAGGATTCTAATTTATCATGGGTGATTCTTTTGTCCCCAAGTCCCTGTGCAACTGGTCAATTTCCTTTCCATTTCTGGAATTATTCTGATCTCAATTTTACAGAAGGCAGCACTTCATGGCTCCCAGCTTTGTGTAGATAGCTCAATTACAACTCAACACTGAGGCAGACATCCATTATGGACATTAGGTCCCCAGCTCCTAAGGTCTGCTTCAGGTTCTGATACTTGAAAGTTCTAGCATATAGATCTGGTTTGACATTTCATCTTTATTTATTTATTTTATTTTATTTATTTATTTTTGAGTTGGAGTCTTACTCGGTTGCCCAGACTGGAGTGCAGTGGCCGCTCCCGGCCACCGCAGCCTCGCCTGCTGGGGTCCGGCGATCCTTCCGCCTCAGCCTTCAAGTAACCGGAATTACAGGCATGCGCTACCATGCCCGGCTGATTTTTTGATTTATTGTAGAGAGAGGTCTCGTTGCCCAGGCGGGTCTTGAACCCGCGGGATCAGGCAATCCACTCACCTCAGCCTCCCAAAGGCATGGGATTACAGGCTGAGCCACCGAGCCCGGTTCATCTTTATTTTTTAGAATCTGGAGATTTCTGACTTACCAATTTATTATTAAAATTGTTTTTGTGATTTGTTAGCCAACATTTGTGTTTGAACAGTAGAGAGCATGTTTCACATCATTTTAGTCTACTATATTGACAGAATGAAATCTGAAAAAACATTTGGATTTAGCTAGTTCCTATCAATATTTTCCCTTTCATCTGAATAAAAAATCAGTCTTAACTAGCCAAGGAGCTAGATACATAGAATAAAACTAAAATGCCTACTATACTATACCCTAGAAAGTCTCCTTCTGCAGAAGATGATAATGGGGGAAGGAAAATCTGTCAACAACTGGGGGAAAGAAGAAAGAATACAAATCAGAGCACACAGTGAAGGATCCACAGGGTCAAGAACACAGCACCTGGGCTGTCCCGTCATAGGAAGCAGAGACCAGCCTTCCGTCATGGTGTGGGCTCCATGCCAGACTGGTAATCTTGGCTGTGTGCCCTGAGAGGGTCCGGTAGGGCTCTGTAATAGTCACTGGAGACTCAGGACTGCTCTCTGAAAGGCAAAGGAAGGATGTCATTGCTATAACCATGAAAAACAAGCAAACGAAAGGACAGATGGGAAAGCACTCACATGGCAAGAGTCAAGATCCTGTCATATACACTTTCTAGGAGATTTTTTAGCAGGCATGATTAAGAGTGTGAGCACGTCCATAGTGCCTGGCATATAAACTTGTCACAAGTGTTAGCTACTGTTTCCCTCTAAAAGCCATCAAAATGAAATTATGCCTTCTGGAAATGATACCAAGGACCTATCATTTATACTATATTCTTGCTAAAATTGCATAATCTGCTTCTAATCATGAGAAAATACTAGACAAACCCAAAATGAGGAAGCATCTACAAAATGGCCTGTATTCTTCAACAACATCATGTAATCCCAGAACTTTGGGAGGCTGAAGTGGGAGAATCACTTGAGCTCAGGTGTTTGAGACCAATGTGGAAAACATACTGAGACTTTGTCTCTACAAAAACAAAAAACCCCCCCCAAAACCCCCAAAACTAACAGGGTGTGGTGGCGCACACTTGTAGTCTCAGCTACTTGAGAGGCAGAAGTGGAGGGAATGCTTGAACTCAGGAGCTTGAGGTTGCATTAGGTTGCGATTGTGCCACGGCACTCCAGCCTGGGAGATGGAGTGAGAACCTGTCTCTCATAAAAAAGACTGAGAAACTGTTTTAGAAGGCAGGAGACTAAAGAGATAAGACAATAAAATGCAAATAGGTGATCCTGGATTGGAAACTGTGCTGGAGAAAACAAAATTACTATAAAGAACATTAATGGATCAACTAACAAAACAAGAATATGGATGGCAAACTATTTTTAAAAAATGGACAAATAATAGTTGTATATATTTTTAGGAGTAGATCACACTTGTATAATTGTTATTATTTTTATTTATTTTTTGAGTTGAAGTCTCACTCTGTCGCCCAGGCTGAAGTGCAGTGGGACACTCAGGGCCACCCCAGCGTCGATCCTTCTGCCTCAGCCTTCCAAGTAGCTGAAACTACGGGCACACGCTACAATGCCAGCTGATTTTTTTGATTTATTATAGAGACAAGGTCTCGCCAAGTTGCCTGGGCTGGTCTCGAACCCATGGGCTCAGGCAATCCACTCGCTTTAGCCTCCCAAAGTACTGGGATTACTGACTGAACCACTTGTATGTTATTAAGTTAAACTAACTGAATTTGTTAATTGAACTGGTTATATAAGGGAATACCTTTATTCTTATAAGATATACGAACATTAAGGGATATGGGGGCATGATGCATGCAACACAATCTCAAATGGGTAGGAAAAATACATACACACACACAGAATAAAGCAAATGTGACAGCACATGAAAAATGGATGAATCTAGGAAAGGGTATGTGAGATTTCTTTGTACAATTCTTGTAACATTCCTCTAAGTTTGAATTATTTCAAAATAAGAAAAATAAAATGAAATTGATTCTGGCAGCTTTCTTCCTTTTCTACTATTTAGTAGATACATAGCAAGTGGATGTTTAACTTAGAATCTCAATAATAATCATAAAGACCAGGATCAGCCATCTAACGTATGTTCATTAGTTATACATGGCCTACTATTTATTACTGTAATAATACATGTGTAAATATATCTACACTTAAATACATTTCTCATATTGCTTTTAATTCAAGATTTCCCCTATTAGAACCAAAAAATATATAATTTGGGGGTGTTACAAATAGGATTCTGAGAAAATCAGTACTAGTTAGTGCTAGAGAAATTATTATTATTTTGAGAGTTGGGATCTCCCTCTGTCACCCAGGCTGGAGTGCAGAGGCACAATCATGGTTCACCAAAGCCTCAACCTCCTGGTTTCAGGCAATCCTGCTGCCTCAGCCTCCTGAATAGCTGGGACTACAGGCACATGCCACCACACCCAGCTATTTTTTTTTTTTTAGCATTGCCTCACTAGGTTGTTGAGGCTGATCGCAAACTATTGGGCTCAAGCAATCCTCCTGTCTCAGTCTCCCAAAGTGCTGGAATTATAGATGTGAGCCCCTGCACCCTGCCAGTTCTAGAGCAATTAAAAATGTTAACTGGCTGGGCGCGGTGGCTCATGCCTATAATCCCAGCACTTTGGGAGGCCAAGGTGAGAGGATTGCCTGAGCCCACGGGTTCAAGACTAGCCTGGGCAACTTGGTGAGACCTCATGCCTACAATAAATCAAAAAATTACCGGGTGTGGTGGTGTGTGCCTGTAGTTCCAGCTACCTGGAAGGTTGAGGTGGAAGGATCACCTGAGCCCAGCAGATCAAGGTTGCGGTGGCCATGAGCATGCCACTGCACTCCAGCCTGGGTGACAGAGTGAGACTCCAACTCAAAAACAAACAAACAAACAAAAAACTCAACTATCTTCACTATGGCTGAGAGCACATTTTTTGTAGCAGTCTGAAAACGGTTTAGTGTCAGATTAGGATTTCTTCATATTAGGAAAAAAGCAATCCATTTCACCCATATTAAAAAAAAAAGAACCTACTATGGCTCTTCTAGGTGCTGGAGGGAGTCCAAGGAAATGTAAGCATCCTTAAGGAATAAGTCACACACATACGAACGTTAACCCATTGGCTGGGCTCGGTGGCTCAGCTTGTAATCCTAGCACTTTGGGAGGCCAAGGTGAATGGATTACCTGAGCCCACGGCTTCGAGATCAGCCTGGGCAACTCGACCAGACCTCATCTCTACAATAAATCAAAAATTAGCCAGGTACGGTAGTGCGCGCCTGTAGTTCCAGCTATTTGGAAGCCTGGGCAATGAAGTGAGACTCCAACTCAAAAAAAAAGTTAACCCATCAGATATGAAATATGTACTTGCTAGAACACATGCAGACTGTGCAATTAGACAATGTGAACTAGAATGGAGGCTCTATTGTATACTAGCTATGGGACTTGAGGAAGTCAGCTAACCTCTCTGGGCCTCTTTTTGATCATTGGGAAACTGAGGATAACAATACCCACCACATTACAGGATTGTGAGAATCAGATGCAACCAAACATGGCAATGAGCTGTGTGTAATGTGTGTGCGCGCGTGCGTGCGTGTACAACACTGCTGGCATAAGCTTTTCAGAGAGACACTTAGCAATAGCTATAAAAAAAAACTATACTTTGTTTTTACATAGCAATTCCACTTCTAGAATTTTCTGTATGAAAATTATTCATTCATGTTCATGATAAAATATGTATTAGGCTGTTAGACAGAAAGTCACTGAACCCACAGTATCATCCCCAGTATGAAAGAAAGCAAAGTTACCTATGACAGTCTTCAGGTTGTGCACATAAATGACTGCATTGTTGGAGCCAGAAGCCATCAGATAGCTCAGTTCTGGCTGGCTGCCATGCTCATGATGCCAGCTAATGGTATTCACAAGCTTGTGATGTTGCTGGATAGTGCAGATCAGTTTCAAATTGGGAACCTGAAATATTTCTATTGATCTGAAATAAGAAACACCAAAACAAGAAAGATGGATGCTCAAATTACAACCCAAAGCAGACAGATATCTCCCTTATTCTATCAGTCAAGGAAAGGTGAGATGGAAAAGGATAACCCTTTCCATCACTGCAAAGTTCATTCTCTCATAAAGAATCAGGTACAGGCCAGGTGCGGTGGCTCACGTCTATAATCTCAGCACTTTGGGAGGTCGAGGTAAGAGAACTGCCTGAGCCCAGCCTGGGCACCTTGGTGAGACATCATCTCTATGATAAATCAAAATATTAGCCGGGCGTGATGGGGTGTGCCTGTAGTTCCAGTTGTTTGGAAGGCTGAGGTGGAAGGATAACTTGAGCCTAGCAGGTTGGGGCTGTGGTGGCTGTGAGCGTGCCACAGCACTTCAGCTTGGGCGACAGAGTATGATACTCTAACTCAACAACAACAAAAATATGCTAACAATGTCCCAAAAATTCTAACGAGTGGTAAAATTTTTTGTATTAATAGCTGGGTGCAGTGGCTCATGCCTGTAATTCCAGCACTTGGGAGGCAGAGGTGAGAAGATTGCTTGAGTCCAAGGGTTTGAGATCAGCCTGGCCAACATGGAGAGACCTAGTCTTTATAGTAAGTCAAAAAATTAGCTGGGCTTAGTGGTGTATAACTGTAGCTCCAGCTACTTGGAAGCTGAGGTGGAAGAATGGCCTGAGACCTGAAGGTCAAGGTTGTGGTGGCCATAAGCGTGCCACTGCCCTCTAGCCTGGGCAATGGAGTGAGACTCCAACTCAAAAAAAAAAAAAAGAACTGATAAAACAATGGCTAATTTAGGGCCATACTACTATGGTTAACATTGGGCAGGACATAGAGTCTGACCTAAAAAGCATTTTTGCCTAAGCTTACTTTAAAACAATGAAGTGACATTTAGGCAGTTCAATACAGAAGAGCATTTTGTGAGGCATGAGACGGCCAAAACGCAGTGTAGCCAAATAATATCCAAATAGTTCTATAGTTCTCAAAGGCAGCGCAAATTTCTAGGTCAGTCGAGGATATCAAGAATAAATCAGAATACTCAACTAACATCACAGATGGCATCAGCTGCTTGTAATCAAATGTATGTGCAATTGCAAATTTTTTATTTTAAAGAAACAAATAACATACCCATCTTCATTGCCAAGAGCCATGATTTTGCCATCTGCTTTCCAGCTGATTTCTGTGTGTACAGGCAATTTGTACTAGAAAGCAAAACAAACCAATCTTGACTATAAACATTGTTTTCTCCACATATCTCACAAATCAACGATAACAGAATAAAGAAAAAATATCTCCAGAGTTAAAAAATGTTCTAATTATACAACAGCCATTCTCGTAAATAATCTACATAATCACTCAAAGGATTACTAAGAACAAGTAGTCTATGTTCCTAATTGGGAAGCACTAACTGTCTATAACAACCTTGTGAAATAAATGTAAGCTTCTTTCCCGACACACTTCCCCTTACCTCTCCATGCTGGTGTTCCCAAGGCTGCCTGGGCCCTCTTCTCTTCTTCCTTGTCTCTTTAGCCCACCTCAGACATACCCAAAGCGTCTTTTTTTAAGAAGTTTATTTTAAAGACGTGGGGTACAATTAGGGTTAGGTATACAAACGTTCACTATGCAGGTACCCTTGTTGATGAGGCGTGCCCCTCTCTCTCCTGGCAGTTTCCCTCAACTGCCAATCCCACCTCCGCAAAGCTTCTTTATCTATTGTTTATATGAAGGAATTCCAAATTTCGATTTCCAGCCCAGATTCCTAGCATGAACTTCTAATCCATACATTCAGATAACACTAAAATAAAAGCTTGTTAGAAAGAGAAATTTGTCTCTTTTATTCAATGCTGAAATATAACTCAATTTATGATCAAATGTTACCTTTATGCTAGCCATAAAAAAGCAATGAGTCACAATAAAAAACACTCATTTGAAGGGGTAAGGAAATCTCAATATTTAAGGTTTGATTTTAAAAGACAGTTCTGAATTGGGTGAGGTGACTCACACCTGTAATCTCAGCATTTTAGGAGGCAGAGGTGAAAGGATTGCCTGAGCTCAGGTATTCAAGACCAGCCTGACCTCGTCTCTACAATAAATCAAAAAATTAGCTGGGTGTGGTGGTGTGCACCTGTGGTTCCAGCTACTTGGAAGGTTGAGGTGAAAGGATGATCTGAGCCCAGCAGGTCACGGCTGCAGTGGCTGTGAGTGTGCCACTACACTCTAGTCTGGGTGACAGAGTGAGACACTGACTCAGGAAAAAAAAAAGACAGTTCTGGCATACAGACATACTAATAAAATGATAAAGCAAAGGTGATTAAATGTAGAAATCAGGATAAAGTGTATAATGTAAATATTGATACTATTTATGCAGCTTTTGTGCAAATCTAAAATTATTTCACCAAAAAGTTGTCACCAAAAACGACAATTCTGTCCTGAGCAAAACACGTGCAGCTGCATTTGGACACTATATCATAAAGCTCTTTTTACCACAGCACCACTCTGGCTTAAAAGGTTGGTCTAAGCCAGGCTCGGTGGCTCAGTCTGTAATCCCGCGCCTTTGGGAGGCAGAGGTGAGTGGACTGCCTGAGCCTGCGGGTTCAAGACCTGCCTGGACAACTTGGCGAGACTTCATCTCTACAA